TGGTAAGCTCTAAGTTTAACGTTATTTTTTAGTTAAAAAATGATTATTTGTAAAAATTAAGTATATTGTAAAAAAAAAAATGGATTTCATTGTCTTTCATGAATACACAAATGGAACAAAAATACTTACTAGAAAGATTATAGAAACACCAACAATAAAATCAACAATGCAACCAAAGTAGACGAGAGCAAAAGAACATCAAAACACAACATAACAATTTATTTATGAAAATGAATTATAAATCGACTTTAACAATAATTGGGAGCTAGAATGATTGATATCTGGTCAAGTAGTAGCACAAACATAACATCACTTTTAATAAGATGTAAAATAACCAGGGTCGAATGAGAAAATATGTATCTTTGAAGTTACATTGTCTCCAAATCTAAGAAAAAATTGGCTATTACGTTGCAAAAAAGAGATGATGATTTCAATTTACCACCTACAAAAAATAAACAATTCAAATGATAAAATATGCGTTCAAATTTATGTACTTGTAATTAAAACTGACTACTTTGGGCCATCTTTGAGCAGGTGGCCCATGAATGATCATGGGCCATATCAACGAGCCTGCCCAGTTTTTTAGTTTTGAAGTAGTTGGATTATCCATAATCATATGAAGGGAGTGATTAACATATTCTTATTTATCTAGTCTCTTTTAAGAACATACTTAATATAATTTTATTTATTTCGAAATAACATTGGTTATTTATATATAATTAATCATCATTAAATATTTTAGAGATAGTTGTAAATATGGCAAAACCATTAAGTAGAATTAGCAAAATAGAAACCACATTTAGTTTTTTTTTTTTTAAATATATCACTTAAAAAAATTGGAGATCCAATTTTAAAATGACAACTTTAACTAAATGTTATACATCTGTATATGTAATATATCTAACTACTGATATATGTATGTGATATACATCCAATATACTATAGATATAAGTGTTTGATATACTTGCAATATGTATGTGATATATATTTAATATATTACTGATATCAGTATTTGATATACTACTAATATAAGTGAAAATTTTTACTATATTTGAAAATTTAAAAAAGATGTAATATATTTTGAAATACATAAAATATTTTTGCTATTCAMTGCAATTTTCTAGTACTAAAATATATATATATATATATTTAAAAGAAATAAGTAAAAACAAAATCCCATTAAAAGTGTAAATATTTCAATGTAAACACGATTTATTTCTACGAAGCTGCCGAGATAGGGACCATTTTTCTCCTCTTGACTTTGTGTGATGACGTTGTTATTCAAGCCAATTGGAAATTTGACAAAAATTATCTTTTTAATAAGAAAGAGAAGGAAAATTTGGAAATTTGAAAAATAACTTTGTTTGTTTGGCTTTAGCATTAATTAATTGATAGTTTAGAAGTCAATTGCGTAGAGATTGTTTTCGGTCTTAACCACAAATATCACCACCACCATATACTTTCACGATCACAACAACTGTTTAGATAGAACATAATTAAATATGACTATGACAATAATTAAATATCATATAACAACCTTTCCTCAATCGATGCTGTCGCAACGTGATCGTGACGCGAAGTGACCGATGTCCTCTTTCAAGGTCTTTTAAATAAAAGAATTTTGGAGTCGTCACCAGTGAGGATATGATTGGTCACCCAATTAGAAATTAAATAAAATTGTTCAACGTAAATCAGGTTGAATTCGGGAGTCATTTGTATGTAGGGAATGTATTAGCATCCTACRGTATCCGTAAAAAACGGTGACTTGTAATTTGTTTTTTCTTATCCGATTTATTAAATTATTAAAGATCCACAAAAGTTTATTTATTTTATTTTTAAATGTCTCATATTTATTAATTCACATTTTAAAAATAAAACATGAATTAATTATTATTATGAGTGATATAAATGTCATTATGGAAAATTTATCTTTTTGAGAAATTTCATGTATTTAAGAAATTTAACCAATTCCAATAAGAGAAAACTATTCAACCTCTCTTTTATTTTTTAGAAAACTTGAGAGTGGTTTTTTGAAAATTTCATTTTTAAATTGTTTAATGGAAAATTGCTTTTAATTATTGAAATTCATTTTAAAAGGGAAATTTCAAGTTCAATTTATACATATTACAAGATAGAAAAGATGTGAGTATCTCAAACACATTAACTAATATATGAAATTGAAATTGTGGTGTAAGTCAAATTACATCAAACCATAATCCACAAAATAAACAGTGCAAATTGCATTCCTTCCTATTCTAATTTAAAATAATAATAATTAAATAAAGAAAAAAACAAAAGAAAGAGAATTTCAAACTTGTCGAGTGGACTAGAGATTGACAACTAAAAGAAGGAAGAGATTTTCGGTAGCCTTTTGTATCTGTCAGGAAAAAAAAAATTATACTCGGAGCTGAGAGAGATTTTGGACCCTTATGTATTAGGGTAAGYAAAAGATGAAGATATTTTGGAGAGAATTCCCTTGATTTTGATACTCCACCAAAAATTGATAAAGATCTCCTCCTCTCCCTCTGTATTTTTCCCTATGGAGATACCYCAATGGATGTTGAGTTGAACAAAAAAATCAGGCTTAACAGTATACCAATCGGAGAGATAATAGAATAAAGAAATTTCGGTAAAAATTTTCACGTATTTTTTTCTCTTGTGTGCTTCTTCCTTCTCCCCATCAAGAGAAAAAAGGTTCCTCMTCTTAAAGAGAATTTTGAGGAAGAAATCAAGAATCAGGGAGAGTTAGAAATTGGCGGGGAAGAAGGAAGATGTGACAGGGGAGAACGTGGGGAAAGAGATTTGAGGGAGAGGAAGGAAAATTGTTCGGACAAGAGAGAATGTGAGAGAGAGGGAGATATTGTTAGAGAGGAAGGGGAAGTTACGTAAAACTGGGAAACTGGAGAGAGAGAAAGAGATAAATATGGAAGTGAGAGACAAATATTAACAGAAATTAAAGATAAGTGCTTTGTATTTTAAAAGTTTTGTTTTTTTTTTTCCAATTTTCTTTCCTAAATCTATTATTTCAATTTAATATTATTTTAGTTTTTGTTATTTTTATATTTTTTGTATTTTTAATAGCAAATAACAAATGTTGTACAACAAATATCAAATAAAATTAAAATGACCCGAAAATACGGTATCTAGAGACACGTATGATAATATCAAATCTATTTCTAATCATACGATGAGTAAGACTTCCTAAATTTCTATTCAAGTCATCTTCTCGTATGGTTTAGAAATGTCTTTTTCTAGTGTTGTTACTTTAAACTCTCCTTTAATTAGCTATCGTAACTTCTTGACTTCACTGTCATATTGTTTTTTTTTCTTTTAATTTTTAATTATCGCGGTAATGAGGAGTTAGGATTAAAACAAAATTGATAGATAAGATTAACTAAGATACAAAATGGAAAAAGATAATATGAAAATTTTAAATGAAGGGCTAGGATTAAAATTATATGGACGTTAGACATTAAAGATAAAGATATTATTTTTATTATTTTTTGCAAAAAAATATTCGAACCCTTGCACGTAAGAAACAAAATATTATTATTATTATTATCATCATCATCATCATCATCTTTTTAAATACGCTTAAATTCTGAGTTAGGTAGACCTGATTTTTAAAAAAGGTTGACTCGAGACCCAACACAATCCGATCGAGTTGGATTCATTGGGATATTTGAACACCTTTAATGGAAAACAAATGAAGTTAATATAATTCAATTATTCAAAAAATTACTTGCAACTTCTTGACTTAGGTCAGGTTGGAATCTTCTAACCTCCATGTTAAACTAAGGGGRAAAAAAACACAGATTAGGTGGCAGCACGTAAATGGACAAAATTTAGTACCAGCTAATTCAAAGGCCACATTTAATAACTTTTAATCTGTGAATTTCAACATAATTTCCTCACACACTGAAATAATTTAGAAGTTCAAAAAAAAAAATAAAATATAAATACGCATGAAACGAGAGAATTTTAGATGGAGGACTATTCTTCTCCAGAGTCATTATATCTGTTTTGTTTTCTAATGAATTTGTGTGGAAATTAAAATTTGCAGCATTATTATTGGTGTAAACTCATACGTGCCTTAATTATGTGAATGGTCCACCAAAGAATCTTCCTCGCTCCTGGCAATATGAATAAGATTGAAAATTGAAGGGGTTAATATAAAAGTATATGTATTTGAAATATAACACAATTCACAAACACAACACAGCATTAATGGCTGGTGTAGGTGTGCAAGAAGGTGGGGCGGTGCCGGTGGATGGCTACACAAAGGACGGAAGCGTGGATCTGAAAGGCAATCCCGTGCGGCGCTCACACACAGGCCGTTGGACCGCCTGCTTCTTCATCGTCGGTACGTAATATACTCATTAATTTGTAGTTTTAACTTTTAATTGTGTCTGTGTGGATTAATTAATTAATTAGGCTGTGTAATTACAGTGTACGAAGTGTTCGAGCGGGCCGCCTTCTACAGCATATCCACCAATCTGGTCATGTATTTGACGCACGAGCTGCATCAACCAGACCTCGCCTCAGCCAACAATCTCGCCAAATGGATGGGAACCGTCTGGATAACGCCCATCTTCGGGGCTTATGTCGCGGATGCTCATCTCGGCCGCTACCGCACCTTTGTCGTTGCATCTGCCCTCTGTCTTAYGGTACATAAATAAAAGATAATTAAATTTATCCAACCCATCAACTTCAACTTTTGGTTTAAGTGTTGGTTTATTCGTTATTAACATTGTATTAAAGTGAGAGGTATGTTCCAAGTACTTGACTCCTCCTAAAGAGTAATTTTGTCCACGTCACCGTTTAATATTTGACAACTAAAGATATGTAAAAACAAAATGCATGTTTAAAAAATGATGAGTTGTCAAATATTAAATGGTTGTGTAGATAAGATTCTTCTTTACCGAAGAAGTATTTTCCCGAATTTAATAAGAGAGAGTGTTGTGGTATAACAGGGGATGTCTCTTCTAACGGCTGCGGTCTCCGTGCCAAGCCTGAAACCGCCGCGATGTCCAGAAGGCAATGTTAAGGCAGAAAACTGTGCACAGGTGTCCAAGTTACAATTGGCAGTGTTCTTCAGCGCTCTCTACACGGTGGCTGTGGGGATCGGCGGGATCAAGCCCAACATCTCCACCATGGGAGCGGACCAGTTCGACGAGTTCGATCCGGAGGAGAAGGCTCAGAAGCTGTCCTTCTTCAACTGGTGGATGTTCGGCATCTTCTTCGGCAGTCTCTTCGCGGCGACGGCTGTGGTTTACATTCAGGAGACTGTGTTGTGGAGCTTGGGATATGGGATTCCCACTATTGGCCTTGGAATAGCCTCTCTAATATTTGGCGCTGGCACTCCCTTTTACAGGCACAAGCTCCCCACTGGAAGCCCCTTCATGAAGATGGCTAAGGTCGTTGTCGCTGCGGCTTCCAATTGGAGGCTTCCTCTTCCCAACCACCCAAAACATCTCCATGAGATTCACTCTCAACACTACACTAACCAAGGAACTTCCAACATTCATTCCACTCCATCCTTGAGGTACTCCCACCATCTCCAAAATTACTGCTCTAAGCAACTTAGAGCAAAAAATTTGTTGGTCTACAAGAAGTGCAAACAAAATCTCATATTGATTAGGAAAGAAAAGGATCATGTGTATATATACGAGGAACAACTGATACACACCTTTTTGGATGAAACCAAAAGTRAAAGTGTGAATTTTATCTCTAAAGTAGACAATATCGTATCATGATCTCTTGTCTAAATGGGTTCCCAACACAACTTCACCGGCACATCAAACTATGTTTTATCCATAAAACTATGTTGGATGGCAATTATATCAGTGTTTGAAGTTTTGCAGTGGGTATGCAGGTTCCTGAACAAGGCTGCTATAAAAACAGGTTCAAGTACTGATTCGTGGAAGCTATGCTCAGTGACCCAAGTGGAGGAGACAAAACAAATGCTGAGAATGATCCCAATTCTAATATGCACATTCATTCCAAGCACAATGTTGCCACAGACACTGACCCTTTTCAAGCAGCAAGGCACCACTCTCAACAGAAGCGTAGGCAGCCACTTCCAAATCCCTCCCGCTAGTTTATCTGCTTTTGTCACCATCTCCGTGCTCCTCAGTCTTGTCATTTACGACAGGTTTCATAAAATTTAAATTTCTTCCCAAATAGCTAACATTATATTGTTAAATCACTAATGTAATGTATATTCAATTGGCAGGTATTTTGTGAAGATAATGCAGAGACGGACCAACAATCCAAGGGGAATCACACTGCTACAAAGAATGGGAATTGGAATGATTCTCCATGTCGTTGTAATGGCGGTTGCGTCATCGGTCGAAATTCACAGACATGGTGTTGCTAGAGAAAACAGAGGACAACTCCCCCTCCCCCTCCCCCTAACCATTTTCATTCTCCTCCCTCAGTTCGTGCTGATGGGAATTGGTGATGCATTTTTGGAAGTAGCAAAAATTGAATTCTTTTATGATCAGGCACCGGAGAGCATGAAGAGTTTGGGGACTTCCTACTCCATGACTTCGCTCGGGATTGGAAACTTCCTCAGTGGTTTTCTTCTTTCAAAAGTTTCTCAAATTACCAACAAACATGGAGGCCAAAGATGGATTTTTGACAACCTGGATGATGCTTTTCGTCTTGACTACTACTATGCGTTTTTGGCACTGCTCTGTGGCCTCAATTTCTGCATCTTCTTGGTCGTCTCCAAAATTTATGTGTACAAAGCTGAAGTCTCTGATTCAATGAAACTGCTGACTGATGAACTCAAGCAAAAGCAATCCAACAGGGACAGAGCTAAGCAAGGGAGGGGGCAATTGCCCCACGGTCATATGTTTGAATCTGGTCAGATTACTCAAAATTTGAGATGGTAAAAAGATTATTCTGTATACAAGATAACTTAAAAGTTAATTGATTACAGTAATATTGTCAATATTAATTAGGTACTGAATCAGGGRGAGGAGTCTTGGAACAATATAAAAATCAACTAGTTAAGATATATATTTGGATGCGATGAATTCAATTAAGATCTATAGAGGAGTCTTGAAACAATATATATTATAGGTCAAAACGTTAAGGTATATACTTAATAGGGAGTGCAAGATAAAATTTGATACTTGATGCAAGAGTGAGACCCTCTACTGACTAGGGTTCGACAAGCCATCCGATAGGCAGTTATCTATGTTAGTTAGTATAATAAAAAAAAATGTGAGTCAAATTAAAAGATATAAAATGTTCTTCACAGCTTTTTTTTTTAATTTAAACAAAAAATAAAAGCCCATAATCAACCAAAATACTATATCATTAATAAAGTTTATTTTATTTATTTATCATTAGTAATTGGCATATATTTCTAACCCACAAGGTGTGAGTTCGATCCTCCATTCCACATGTTATATCCAAAAATAAAAAAAAAATTCACTCGAAAGGAAAAAAAAGGGTAAAAGTTCATGTCCCTCCTCAATTAATTTAAAATAATTAGAAAAAATAATAAATCAATGTACACCACATCTTTCGTATGCTAAAACTTTAATTCATCGATGTGATATGTCTCAATTATTTCATTTATTTAGAATATTAATAAATTACATTATGTTTAGATGATTAAGCTGTCACACTTTAATTTATATATTTTTAGTTAGTTCTATAGTATACTATTGCTATTTCAGCAGTTCTCGTTACATTTTTCTTTACATCATATATGAAGAAACAGACAGKCAGAGGCAATAGTTATGAAGCACTTTATCTGTTGGAGTTAACCAAAGCCACAGATTCCCATTTAAAGAAGCCTTCAACCTTTTCATTTTCTTCATAGTGAAACGAAGGACAAAAAAAACAAAAAACAAACAAACAAAAACAAAAACTTTATATAAAAATCTTGAGAACCAAAACAGTTGTCAATTGGTGGTGAGAACAAAATTTTGGTCTAAAATAGACATTTTGGAAGCTTGAGAGATTAGGAACCATTTAATTTTAAAATTTCAAGATTCAAGGTGGCGCAAAATTGAACAAAAAAATATTTTACTGTTTTAATAGATTTTATGGATCTAAGCTAATGCTTTAATCACTTCGTTAATTTGGGAGGGAAATACTCATTACCTTTTCTTTAGATAATTCCTCATTCGAACTCGAAAGAAAAAGAGACAGGGAAAAAAAACAACTAAAAAATAGTTTTAAACACTAAGTGTCCGTTTGATTTGGTGACTATCTAGTTTCTTATTTAAAATTTTTAATAAATAAAAATAAAATTACGTTTAATTAGTAAACTATTTCTTGTTGAAAGACTAGAAATATATTTGGCAACAATTTCTTGTTTCTAGTTCTCTACCATTTTAAATTAAACATTCTAATTTTTTATATGAAAATAAAATTTTAAATTAAATATTAATACTTTTATGATATACTTTTTATTTAATATTATTATACATTTCATAGGTAGAAATTGATAAAATAATATTTTGATTTAAGTTTGGGAACCGAGACGAAAACAAAAAACTTGATTTTGTTGTTGCCAAAATTTCTACACGCTTTTGTAAATATTTCTTAAAAATGAAAAATAAGAAACATAAATATAGTTACCACCTACCAAATATTTGTATTACTAAAAAATTAGGAAAAAAAAAACAAAAAACGACAGGAACTTTACCAAAAACGCCCCTAAATTTCTAATATGGTTTTCAAAAGTAAAATGCTACGACTTATTTAGGAAGATTATGAAGCGATTATATGTTTATGGGTTATTATCAACAGTTCCCTCTTATACTTTTCTCAGCAAAGAAAGCCAACTCCCAAAGAAAAAGGGGAAAAAAACTAATAAAAAATGGTCAACATATGGAACTTATTATTCCTTACATTTAGCAAAAAATCAAAGATTTCAGTGTCTTTCCTCTCTCTCTCCCAGGTTTGAAATGTACACGATGTGCCATATTCTGTATAATATTTGATGAGAAATTTCTACATAAGATGTGACATGCATGGGAAGGAAAACGTTTTAACTATTTAGAGCTTCCATTTTTCTTCCTTTTTTTTCCAAATTTCAAAGAAGAAGAAGACAATAAATCTTGGTTAATGAGTATTTCATCCTTTGTTTCTAAAGGGGTTTTTTTTTTTCAATAAGAAAGAGAGAAAGAAATAGAAAAAAGAGTTTTGTTACCAAACAAACATGCATTACTAGGTAATTTCTTTGGGTTTAAATTTAATTTTGGCCTCAAAACTCTCATGCTTGTTCTATTATTTTTAGTTAGCTTCGAACTTTTTTCCTTTCTTTCTCATGGTCCTCGATCCCTTCTCCTAAGGAGACTTTGTGACACTATTTTTAGTCAACTCAGCTAGCTAGCTAAAAAGTTACCAAAAGGAAAAGAAAAGGAAAATTGGGAGTCGATTATATAAATTTAAGGGATGGTTTTTTCTTTATATAGAAATTAATTTAAGACATTTGATTTTTTGCATTAACTAATGGTCGGAAAAAGTCAATCATGGATGGCTAACCACTCAATATGATACTTGAGGTAAAAAAAAAACTCTTCAAAGAGAGTAAATGTCAACTTGGCACGACAAAGCTCTCAAACTAGATATGACGTAATTATTTGGCCTATTGCATTGAAAATCTTAGGTTTAAATATTACTCTTACATTTTGATTTAATTTCTTTAGTTTTAAAATGTCTATTTTGTCATTTTAGTCTTCGTACTTTTGAAACGTCTATTTTGACTCTCGTATTTTTAAAAGCAACCATGTCTTGTCAATTTATTTTTATTTTTATCTCATTTAATTTTATCACAATTTTCCAATGACACACCCACTATCACTAAATTTCTTTAAATGTAATCATTAATTTATATTAAATTATTTTTATTGGGTATAAAATTTTGTAAATAGAGACCAAAATGATTATTTTTTTTCTATGGGTGACGAGTTAAGCTGGCTGATGGAAGTAAAATCTCTTTCCCTCTCTTTTTCTTCAATTTCTTTCACTCATGTCGGTAGGRGATGTAATAATACAACTCACATTCTGGTCAAGTATGGTTTGCATTACTCTAGATCTTTTTTCTGGCATCATCAATATCCTACGTGGTTACTAAACGTTGTTCAATGGGATTTCCTCTCATCTATAAGTCCAAGTGGCCTTTGATTAATGAATTTTCCTTCTTAGAAAATGATTATTTTTTTAAATTATAAATACCAAGATAGGCGTTTTATCCAAATAAATCAAAATCAAAGTTATAAAGACTAGCATAGTATTTAAATCAAAATCTTATATTGATTTGGCACCGAATGAAATTTGGTCGACTGATTTTGGTAAAAGTAGTTGCTCCTCCCTCGATGCTACTTCCAATGTCAAAAAGGAAAAATAAAGTCTTTCTTTATTATAATTTTGAGAAGATTTTGATTGGCTGCAAATAGAAATTAAATCTCAAACAGTGTGTTAATGATCTTGACCGACCTTTGCAACGGGAAAAGAAATAAATCGTATTTGTAATATCGTAACTTAGGCACATTCGAGTAGCGTTAGATTTATGATATTTTAAGGTTTTAAACATCAATGTCGATGGAAATGTCCAAGTCTCGATTTCATGGAAATATCGATAAAATGTCGATGCCAATGAATATTTCTGTAAAGGTTAGAAATATTAAGAATTCGTAAAAAAATATGTAAATTAACAAATAAATATTTTTCCATTGCAAAATTAGTTAAAAATAATTAATATTAATATATAATATATATATATCAGTGACATTTTGTTGATATTTTTCACATTTTGTCGATTTTCTTGTACTATGATGGAAATGTCGAACCCATGGAAACATGGATATATCGATGGACATGTCAACGTATTGACGGATATTTAGAACCATATGCTCTTTTATCATTTACTTAACATTTTCAGAAATATCCATCAAAATCAACATTTTTTTAGTACAACATGGGAAGGGAGATCGAACTCACGACCTCATAATTTGAGATATATACCAATTATCGTTGAGTTGTACTCGCTTGAACATTGACATCAACATTTAAAACCACTAAATTTTGGTTTTGATATTATTTCTAATGTACTTCAAATGGAACTAGAATTGAGGTTGTAAATGTTAAATTCATAAAAAAAAATGAAGTTTAAAAACTAAAAAGTAACATTCTAAAAATTTAGTCGATATAGTTATTATGAATTGGTCTAGTGGTCAATAAGGATGAACACGAATCGTGGTTTAAAGGGAATGAGTTCAAACTAAGATGACCACCTACTTAATATTTAATATCTTATAGATTACATTTTGTTTGACTTGAGAGATCGAATCATCAATTGTTGAAATGATAATAAATATTTAATTAAYAAAACTATGTTCAAATTGGTTCAGTCCACGAACTCACCAAAAAAAAAAATCTAAAATTTTGGAGATTAAAAATAGAACTTCTTTTAATACCAAATTAAAATAGAACTTAAAAACTAAAGTACATTGAAACATTATATTAAAGAATGCTACATTTCAAAAATCACAATATTAAACAGACCATAGGTTTGGCCTTTGTACTTATTAGGCAAGTAAAAAGAAAAAGACCAARACCTTTTTAAGAGATTTTGTTTCCATGATGGCAATCTACTTGGTATTAAAATTTTATGACTTTTTTATAATTAAATATTGTATAATTAAGTAGTGTCTCATCATATCAGTCTAAATGTAAGTAAACAAACCAAAACATATATATATACTTTAAACATACCAAATGTGTTCTAATCTTTGCTATAATAAAAAAGTGTTCTTTTATCTTTTATGTCGTTTTTAATATGGTCCTTAATCTTTTTAAAAATTTCAATTTCATCCCTASTATATAAAAAATTCTCAATTAAGAATTCCCATAAAAGACGGTTAAAGTTTATTAGTGGTGTATAATTAAATAAATATATTATTAAAATATTTGGACATGTAGATATGTTATCATTAAATTAAAAATTCAACCCAACTTTCGAGGAGTCGATTTATCATTAAATTAATGTTTTTGTGGTTTAAAAGGGGGTGAAAATAAAACTTTAATTTTCAAAAGCCGTGGATTGTGAATCTTCRTTGCAATACTCTAAAGAAATTATAGTACTAGTCAAAAAAAAAAATTAATTAAATTAAATAAGAGTGTGAAAGTGAGATAACAACAGCACGTGGTCTGTGCACAGTTAGTTTTAGTTTGAGTAGCTGCGAGTACCCAGCAATCAATAATACGACTAGTCGAACTCAACAAAATAATAGATAATAAAATAAAATAAAAGAATAACAAATAATAATAATTCGACTAGTCGTTAGTTCCAACCTAATTATAGACCGATGAACTTAGCTGTGGGTTCCGATTCCGACAGAGACGGAAAACAGATAAGGTGGCCTGAACCTCACCTCACAGCCCACATAAATTTTATGAGTCATCTACTTTCCACTGTATTAAATTTCATTAATTACAAAACTAAATAATTTAGACTAAATTATTCAAAAAAACGACCTCAATTTTGACTTTTGTTCCAATTATGATAAACATAATCTGAAAAGTAATTGTCTGTTATCAATATTAAACATGTTTGCTATTTATTTTGTTTTGATAATAAAATTGTTCATGACCATATTTGAATTAATTTCAAAAGTAAAAAATAGAAATAAAATATTTTAAATAATAAAGATATAATTGAAACTAACCAAATTTAAAAATACATGAACCAAATTAATGGACTAAAATCGTAAAATTTAATGCCGTGTGTGAAATGAAATTGGGAGAATTGAAATTGTAGAAGGAGGGAGGACCATTCTGATGGGTAGTCTTGTAATTAGGCAGTCGTGGAAATTACAAAAAAAAGCAGCAGAAATTGGCAAAGTGGTCTTAATCATTGACCAGTCTCACTGCGCATTAAATTTTCTTATGGTCAACTTGTTTTACCCTGTGACACAAGAATCTTCCCTGTCCTTTTACTCGCGCACTAAAATTTCCATCCACGTCAATATCTTTCTCGAAGACTTTCATATTAATTTGAGAGACAAAAAAAAAAAAGCCCCCATCTCTAGTATCGATGTCTTTCTTTTGCTTTCGCGGAATAAACTTATAAATACTATACATATATCCAATGTCTTATAAAATTAACTTCGAGAAACTTAATTTAGTACCGTTTATTATTATATTTGTTTCACCGATCTCAAAAATCATGAGTAATTATCACTATAAATAAAATATACATTTTAGATCGACTATTATATTTGTATTAATAAAATTTATGTAAATATACGAGTATGGT